AGTGTTGTTTTAGCGTGAGTATTAAGATTAAGTGTATCGCAGAGTTATATTCGGAAAGAATAAACCAGTCTTATTAAGTAAAGACTTGTGTCGTTAAAGTTTGGTTGGAACGAAGTTACGGAAAAATCAATTAACAAACGGAGACGTAACAATATGTTCTCTATATATTGTTGTAACATAGTCATTCACCGTGCATATTATTAGGTCGTCAAGAAATTAATGTCGCGTTTTGGAACACTTTCATTACCCCCCCCCCCCCAAGAAACTTACATTACGTATAATTGTTAAACGAACCGCCTAAACGTTACGTTAATGTAGCCTATAATGTGTAAAGTTTAGTATACTCTAATCCCTTACAGTGATGGCACGCGACGAGACATACATTCGGTATATAATGTTGTTTGATTACAAGAAGGGAAACAATGCCTCTGTAGCCACAAAGAATATCAAAGAAGTTTATGGAAAATATTTTGAACGTTCGTAAGTGTCAACGATGGTTCAGCAAATTTCGTTCAAGTGACTTTAGCCTTTTAAAAAGTGTGATGGCAGGGACCGACATACTGGAATTAATACTGATGCTCTGAAGACTCTTTTTGAGTCTAACCCAAAGCAACACACTCGTGAAATGGCCCTGAAATTGTATATCTCTCATGAAACAATACGTAAACATCTAAAGAATATGGGAAAACTCCACAAAGAAGATGTTTGGGTACCTCACGAACTCTCTGATGGTCATAGTTTCCAACGTGTGAACATAGATGATTCTTCTCTTCTGGCGCGTAATGCGTGTGAACCATTTTTGGACAGAATTGTCACCGGTAATGAAAAATGGATTCTCTATGCGAATATTAAATACCAAAATCAATTTCTTTGTTCCTCTTGCACTAATAAATAGTTTAATAGCAGGAGAATAGCCAAACCCTGACTCGCAAAGTCAAGATATGTTTTATATCAGCTTTTTTTCTCAAATACACAATACACAGTTTCCTATTGGTTTTTGTTACTTAATGCATTTTTCAATATTCTGTTTGAAAGTTAATATTCACTGAAAACAGGTTTTGTATAATCCTTTTCTAAAACCTATTTTTCAGTGATTGTTTGTTTTTGAATTTCGCGCAAAGCTACACGAGGGCTATCTGTGCTAGCCGTCCCTAATTTAGCAGTGTAAGACTAGAGGAAAGGCAGCTAGTCATCACCACCCACCGCTAACTCTTGGGCTACTCTTTTACCAACGAATAGCGGGATTGACCGTAACGTTATAACGCCCCCACGGCTGAAAGGGGCGAGTATGTTTGGTGGGACGTGGATTCGAACCCGCGACCCTCAGATTGTGAGTCGAGCGCCCTAACCACCTGGCCATTTTTCAGTGAAGACATTTCGTGGAACCTGGCTTATTACAGCTCCAGAAAGCTTGGTCATTTACAATAGAGATTAGTAGCCCAAGTTCGTATTTTGTTTTACTTTTCTAACTGAAGAATACTTTCTCAAACTGGCCAATACCTGAAATATTTTCACCAGCAGAGTTGTTGTTGTTTTCTTAGTGCAAAGCTACACAAAGAGCTATCTGCCCACCGCTGAGAATCGAACCCCAAACTTAGGTTTTGTAAGTCCGTAACTATTGCTGATTCACAAGAGGACAAACACTAGACAACTATTCAAGTTAAACAAATATTCAGTTCTTATTAACACATGCTCATAGAATACTTCAATAACAAATATGTCTCTATGTTGAGATTTAACGTCATAAGCGCATCCATCTGAAATCTACAATATTTATTCCTTTACTGTATACTAGCGTAAGAGCCCATCAAAAAATGACGGGCAACCACTGGAAACCAAAATTATTCCGTATAAAACTGGCAATACTCAAAGGAAATAAATAAAACAAATGTAACATTTCCTTTCCCAGGAACATGCTACATATTGCTCCTGAATCCACTACATATAACTGAGCAAACAGGCTACATATTGGTGCCTTTGAATAAAAGATTAAAACATACGATGACCATGTGACTGCATATACACCTGTTCTTCTGACGAAAAGTCGTCCTCTTCCCTAGAGATAACTGATATCTTCAGTCTGTTTTAACAAAGGCTTTTTCATAATAATTCCCAAGCATAGCTTTACGCTATTTTTTTATTTATTTTTCACAGGCGTTGAAAGAGTGCGAATGCACTTCCGTCTGTTCCAACACAGAAGTCTTCCCGACTTTCCTATTCGGATCCTACCTAGCTTGACATCATAATGATGTGGTGTCACACACATAAAGCCATGTCTGATCTGGTTTTGGGAACTCCCTCCTTAACAGGCATTTATATAGCAGACAAAAGTGCCGAAATTTAGGAGCTACTTACGCCTATGTAAGCGATTAAATTCCACTAAAATGGGAATGGGCAATCAATAGAGGAAGTATTATAGGAGAAAAAGTGGAAATGGACTCGTGTAACTCACGAAAGTCGGAGAAATCGAGCATGAGCTTTTATATATATTGATAAATCTTTCTAAATTATCCATACTTTATTTCTCCAAGTTGTTCAAATTCTCAAAAACAGCGCTCAGCTTCAAGAAAGAAAAGTTGTGTTTAAAATAGAATCCATGGTGTAACTCTTTAACCAAAAAAACCCAACAGTTGTTTAGTACTCTTAACAACAAACCTCCACTTTAATTTAGTAGTCTTGTATTCTGTGTTTTCCATATTGTTACTTATAATACACAATCTTCTAAACAATACAGCATTTAATATCTTGCAATCTTAACGTTTCATCATTCCTTCACACAGTAATGTTACCTAGATAAATATATATATATCATCCTTATTAGCTTTTGTGGAATTAAGTGAGGTTTCATTTTATCATATACGGAAATCACAATCACCTGGTTACAAGCAGGGGGTAATATTTGTTGCCTAAAGATTTAATAGCCACCTAGGTACTCCTAATCATTAGGAAATTTATTATATTAATAGATTATCCTAAAACAGCCAAAACTGAAATTTATTTGTTGAAAACAACGATAGCAACTGCCACACATTTACCTATTTACACACTTATGTAGCTCGTATCTTCCAGTGTCGCTAAGACTGGTATCACTTGAGGGAGGAAGGGCACTAAACTTTTACCATTCTGTTCGTTTGTTTATTTTTTTTTTGCTGTCAACCACAAAGCTACACAATGG